ATTGAAGCTCCCAGAAACCTTCACCACTAGCTGTGCCGGCCAGGATTTCTAGGAGTTTTAGTGTACGAACATCTGGGCTCCTTGATTGCCCTTCCGATCTGTTGCTTCCATTACTAGCTGCCTTTCCTTCCTCCATTTTTGACCTCCAAAGAAAATAGATATGTGGATATGTACTTTCTACATATATAAAAGAACAAAGCTGCAAGAACTGTATGCAAAAGAGATTTTTTTTGTTTCCTTAAACTAAAAAGCATTGAGAGTAGAGGAGGCTCAGAAGCTCTTTCCACACTTTTCTCTGCATCAGAAAGAGAATCTCCTAATTCCAAATCGCTCCAATATGTCTCTTTTTGAATCACCTCCAAAGGACCAAAACAATGAGTACAAATTCCTCACCAAGCCTATATCCTGACTATGTAGTTACGAGCTATATGTATGTGCTATATAAGTTGTATCTAACTGATGGTTACTTTAATGACATTTCCAAGGCAAGTAAGATGTTAAAGGAGTTGTTTTAACAGTATTAATCCACCCCCTTTAGTTTCCATGGTTAAGCAGGGAATTGAACTCAGGTCTCTCGAGTCTTAGTCCATCATTCCCTCTGGAAATGTTACTTTTCTGTGTTAAAGCTGCCAGAATTTCCAAATGAACTGGGAAATCTGAGGAGTAGTAATCCAGAAATTAAACTTTCCTGAGCTTGGCTTTTGCACTAACTGTATTTCCATTCATTCCTCTGAGATTTCACAGAAGATGTCCCTCTGTACCCTATGAGCCTGGGATATCTAGTGTCTCGCCCACGCAACAGACACCGTTAAGAGCTACCTTCCAAGGTTCTCATTTTTTCCCCATTTAAAAAAAAAACTCATTCTTTTAGACCTTCAGTAATCCTGTTTCTGAATTCCTGCCTCTCTCACAACATTATCTGACTCAAGCGTATGCCCCACTTCATTAAGCCCGTAAGCCAGCGGCTGGATGGTATCACACTTGTATCCGTTTGCAATTTAAAACAGGCACTTGCTTTAGATCAAAGCTGTGGCAGCAACAGCGGGGAAAAGAAATTAGAATCTCATGGCATTTGCCTTCGATTTCATTGCTGCCGCGTATCTCACTCATTACCAAGAGAATGAAATCTGCGCCCATTCAGGCTGTCGCTGCCTTTTATCCTATGGCCTCCGTGTGATACATTATTGCCACATTTAACACCAATTGGTCATGGCCCTTCTTTCCCAAATTGGACAGCGCTCCAGACGCACAGTATTAAAGCCCCCATCAGAGGGACACAAAGCAGCCATGCCACCCCTAACCCCTTTGGGGCTCTTTCCATCCTGCTCTTGTTATTACCAGCTCCATTCCCATGTGCTTTTAAACAAAATAGCAGAACTGCTCTCCCCCTGACTGAATTTTCATGCTGGATTGACAGCCCCAGAGACGACTGCTTGCTCTGTCTTTCCCTTTATTCTTTTTTATCTGCACAAATGCAGCCCACGCTGCTGTCAGCCTGCTTTTGCTGCTTCGTCTTGCCCCTGACCTGCAGGAATCCCCCTTGGCCAGAGGCAATCTCCTCTGTCAATTCCACACTGACACCCATTTAGTCCGGTATCTTCCAGGTAGCCCCATGCTGTAAGGCAAGAGTGCACCAGTTTTACTGGGACACCTCCTATCATTAGACAGAGATCTGCGGGCAGATGATTTGGAGTATCATTACAGAGCAGCAAACTGCCCGCTATTCCAAGTACAATATTATGATGGTGTTTTCACTGGCAGGAAGAGAGAAGGGGTTTTGTGGGCTTTTCAGGTACTGAAATAACACGAATAGTTTAAGCCCCGAGTGGAGTGGGCAGGACAAGGACAGCCTTTGCTTTGCCACTCAGGCAGCTAAACGTCTTTCAACTGGACCTATTTCTGACACCACTGTCTTCCCTCTAGCAGCAAAATGTCTGCTTTGCCCTTTTATTAGAGCACATAAGACTCACAACAGAGCGTTTCCATGTGCCGTCACCTCTCAGCAGGAGAGCTCCCTGTTCAGGTTGCCCGCCAGCCAGATATGTCTCCCCTCTAAAGTACTATGGCCTAAATCCTATTGGGTTGGCAAAGCTTAAAACAGAATCATAGAACAATGGAGTTGGAAGGGGCCTACATGGGCATTGACGCCAACTCCCTGCTCAATGCAGGAATCTAAGTCGAAGTTTAACAGATGGTTGTCCAATTTTCGCTTCCAGTGTTAGACCACCTTCCAAGGTAATTGGTTCCATTGTTGTCTGCTCCAAGAGTAAGGAAGCTTTTCCTGATAATCAGCTGAAATCTAGCTTCCTGGGACTTGAGCATGTTGTTACATATCCTGTACTCTGAGAACAGATCCTGGCTCTACTCCCTATGACAATCTTTCAAATAGAGTGCTATCATATCTCTCCTCTGTCTTCATTTCTGAAGGCTAAACATGCCAAGTTCTTTCTGTCTTTCCTTATAGGGGTTGGTTTCCAGCCCCCTGATCATCCCTGGCCCTCTTCTGAACATGTTCCAGTTTGTTTGTATCCTTCTTAAATTATGGCATACTGAGATGGACATACTCCTCAAAATGAGACCTAAACAATGTTGAATAGAGGCATAACTGGCGTGCATTATGATTTTGGCTGGCTTTGCACTTCAGTGAATGACAGATGCCCAGAAAACAATGGAAATGCTTAGTATTTTACTATAGGATTTTTGCATATTATTATAAGTTGCAAGACGCAGAGTATGCCACTCCACTGTCCAATTTTTATTTTCATTTCCAGATTCTATAGCTACTAAACGTAGCTATAGAATCTGGAGCTTAGCAACTGGAAATAGAAGTAGGGGAGGGGTGGGCTCTGCTGTTATCTACCATAACTGTGCAATCATAAGGCTCTGTAGTTGTAGCACTTTAAAAACAAAGTCCAGCCAAGCCAAGTAGAGGGGTCTTCCTGAGTCACTTAGTATCCTACTAAGCTTCCCTTGAAGAAAAGGTCCCACTGGTATAATAGGGTTATACTGTACCATGTGCTCCCATATGGCTGTTGTTCAAATAGTGATCTCTATGAAGAAAAAGTGTCCTCTGCTTGCATATTATTGTCTTATATTATTTTGCTGGCAGGACTTCCCACTTAGTTGGAAGCTCAATAAGATACTGGTCTCACAGGTGAACTTTGTTATTTAGCTGGTCTTGAAATTTAGCTGTATGATGATGTTACCTTCAGAAAGACTGCAACATGCCCTTGTTTGACTGACTTGAATTTTTTGCCCATCTTTTCAGTGCCATCTCCCCCATACCTCCGAAAGACAAATAGGAAACAAAGTAATAGATTTTCCAGATTAAAACAGTTCTACTCAGAGGGTTTGCTCAAACATTTTTCCAGTGTGCGAAGGGAAACAAGGCTACACCAAGTACTGTAGTTTCAGTCTTGACAATACCCAGCTGACCAGCATGGGTTCCTTACATCCATGTTGACATTTTCTATCTCCTCCAGGGACAAAGCTGATTGAAAACTTTGCATGTAACTTATTTCAATCTCTGCAAATAGTCAAGACTTTGGAAGCAACTACTTGGCAGATACACAGCTACTTGCAATTTGTCCTGTAGCAATGGGATAATTACATTACTTTCAATTGTAACTTCAGAAAGAATAACCACTCCTTTTCAGTGTAAGCCTGAATTAGTAACTAGCTAATTTTGTGCCTGTGGAAAGAAGATGAATTGGAATGCCCAAGGGTTAATGCATGAATAAAATAGTGGCAAAATTTATTTTAGTCCTGAGAAAATTAATAGAAGTTGTTTACCAGTGGTGGCTTCAGGAATCTCAACCAGTTCTATTTCAAACTTTTTCTGATGCTATAAAGCAGTCGCAATTCTCAAAAAGAGCAGAGAGACTGGAGAGCAAGCAACACAGAACCATGAACATATATGATACCACAACAATTCACAGCACTTGGTTCACTTTGAGTTTGTAAGCCCTATTAAATTGTTTCGTGCCTGGATAAGCTCACATTGCTTAGAGAGGAATGGTTAGACCCTGCCCTTTCTGTCATCATTTTCAACATGTGTAAAGGAATAAGCCTGCAGAAATGGCAGGGAGACAAGACCATGCAGTTTGAGCGCCAGTCTACTGTGCCATGTTGTGGGTGTTGAAATGATGGTGAGGTGGACGGGAGGTTTTGATCCACAAACTAGGGGCTCGGTGGCGCTGTGGGCTAAACCGCAGAAGCCTGTGCTGCAGGGTCAGAAGACCAGCAGTTGTAAGTTCGAATCCACGCGACGGAATGAGCACCCGTCGCCTGTCCCAGCTCCCGCCAACCTAGCGGTTCGAAAGCATGCAAATGCGAGTAGATAAATAGGGACCACCTCGGTGGGAAGGTAAACAGCGTTCCGTGTGTAAATCACACTGGCCATGTGACCACGGAAGATTGTCTTCGGACAAACGCTGGCTCTATGACTTGAAGAGCAGGATGAGCGCCGCCTCCTAGAGTCGGACACGACTGGACAAAAATTGTCAAGGGGAACCTTTACCTTTTTACTGTAACTGAAGCAATGACTAACATATATTTGTGGCTTAAGACCTAGCTATAACTAATTAGTTTTAAAATACAGTTTTCTGAGCTCTGCCTCTGAGCAGTCAGGTTCTATGTAGAATTGCTAAGATTTGTGACTGCTCTATATATACAGTGTCAGGGGTGTGTGGCTACTCTGTGTGGACCTACCCTGCCTTGGCAAGCATGAATAAAACTTCTGGATGTTTACCCTGCCCTGTTCACCATTGACGGAATCACTGATGATTCCTCCTAAGCCATATGGCAAAATATATTTGAAATCATTTTAAAACATACTGTAATTTAAGATTTGGGCTATAATCCTTTATGTTCTTACATGGAAGTAAATACTCAGTGGGGTACACATTCCCTCTCTCCCCCCCAGCAAACTGGGTACTCAATTGGAAGGTACCTTGGAAGGATGGAAGGCTGTCAACCTTGAGCTGGCTACCTGAGCTTGCTGGGATCAAACTCAGGCAATGAGTAGAGACTTAACTGCAGTATAGCAGTTTAACCACTGCACTGCAAGGTTCATGAAAACCAGGGTTACTTATGCTGCATGTCCAAGCCCACAGCCAACCTGAATTAAAGACATTTACAGCCCATACAGCCTCAAATGGCATGACTTGGTCAGTCCATTTCCTTGTTCTTGAGATGCCTTGTTTCTTCACCTATCGCACCGGCACTACTTTTGCCAGTGGGCTTGAGGTTGGCTGGTGCCAATGCTCTCAGTTCTTCATCAGGAGCTGTCTTCTTTTCCACATTCATTTTTTCCCTTGAAATGAATTTGGCTTTGAAGTATAACACGAGAAAAATAACCACCAGGATGAGGAACAGAACTGGAGGGTAGAATAAGATGAAGTGGTATAGCGATTGAGAAGAACAGATCTGGGTGGAATTGCTGGGTGCTGCAACAAACAAGCAAATTTAGTTATTTTTTCCCCTCATCTTCCATTATAAGTTTACAAACAAAGGTGAAGTACGGTTTAAAAACGATTTACACAATCCCCATTCCAAGCCATTCCAACAAAGGAAGAGAGCAGACTTCTGAGAGAAGTCGCCAAAGATGTGCATTGTGATCAAGAAAGGCTAACTCTGAAATAAGTGTGTGAGTCTTAAAAGTGGCACAATGCTTTTGTTTTTATGTTGTTTCCATTTTTGCATAGGAGGTGGTCAGTACTGTTAGTGCAAATATAGATCCTCCTTGGGATATATCTGCACTGCACTTTTGCTCTCTTTTAAAAAAACATTTACCATTATTTACCAGCCATGTTCTAGTACTATGTTCATAGGTGAGAATCAATGCAAATGGGCATAAACCAGAAACAGAAACTTGTTAATACTCCAAAACCTTTCAGTGTCCCAAGGTGGAAACTACCATAAATGAGCCAATTTGTGTAACAACTCATAAAGTCATGGTATACCAGTGAAAGTGTTTGGTTGGAAATGGAAATCATTAACAGATTTTATACTGTGGAACGTAAGACTCAACAGAGATAGGGAGTGGCCCTTTATTTACTTACTTTTCATCTTATTATGTCTCCCTTTATCACCCGTGGATGCTGCCTGAAAGTGGGTCACACCCACACTACTTAGATCTTAAACTCATTCATGCTACTCTTTTCATTTGACATGTCTAATAATGCTATCTTGTTTTTGTAAAAAAAAATTTCCTAGCCCCTAAAGGTTTGCTTTATTGGGACTGAAATGAGAATTTAGGTCTATTACCTTTCAATTTATGAAGTTTAGTTATACAGAGGGGTCATGGATGCAGCTTGACTGAAGGATGCAATCAAACTATTTTGGAGGTCCAATTGTGAAAAATCACCTTGTAGCAATACTTCAATCACCAAGGTATAATAACAAGGTCAATGCCATGTAGAAATAAGAGTTTTATAGCACTTTAAAGATTAACCAACTTGGGCATAAATATTTGTAGACCAGAGCTCAATTCATCAGATGGAAATGTATGCTAGATAAAAGTCCTTAAGGACCCATTAAATTCCTTGTTTTCTTTTGCTACAAAGACTAACATGTCTTCCCTTCCCTTTTTAAAACACTAGATTTGATGGCTGTCATTTATGCTGGTTCATTGGAAGCTGGTTGTGTCCTTAGTAAATAATTAACACAGCTGCTCCAAGACTAACATGGTTTCGCCCTGAAAAGTTTTGCCACGTGAAAATTATTTGTTGAACCTCTTTTGAGTTTTTAAAGAATCCTCCTAAGCCTTAGCATCCATGTTGTAATACTATAAACCCCTCTGAGAGAGAAAATGTTCTTTGAACAACCAGCTAGCCTGAGTCATGTAATTTTATGGGAAAGGGCAGGTTCCAGACAATGTTTGCAACCTCTCTCTCTCTCTCTCTTTTGTTTCCACAAAAAAATCTATTGGGAGAGGGAAAATAGCTGTACAATTATTTGTAAAAGGAATCAGTAGGATCTGAATTCTCCATCTGGACCTTTTGATTCTTCTGGAAATAAAGCAAATTAATCCAGCGTTGTGGCATGCGGTGTGGGAAAAGGGAGCTCAAGTAAGCTCTGGCATAAAATCTAATGCCCCACTATACAGTATCTGTTTTACAAGAGCCTGCACCTTCACTAGTGCTCTTTTATTGTGTCCTGTATTGTTGTCCAGTGGTCGCAGTTAGATGCATGGCTGGAAAGTTCCAAGGTCAAGAGAGACAAACACACAAAATTAGAGTATTATTACCTGAGGGAAGTACCACAAGGCTGCTGAATCCTGATTGACTCGAAGCATAATGAACCTGACTGGCACTACAGTTGGCTGCCTGCCATTCTTCCACCTGGCAGTAGAACAGTCCAGCATCCAGCATCTCCACATTCTGCAGTGTCAAGCGAAAGTCACCCACAGAAGGGTGGTGGAGGTGCAACCTTCTTAACAGCTTCTTATTCCCACCATACTCAATGACACCGTTGCCCTTCATTTTCACCAGTGATTCTGTATGTTCAGAAACTTTAAACCAGGTGATTGAGAAGCGGGAGGTGGCCTGTACTGAGCTCTGCATAATGCATTTCAGGGTCACATCCTCATTTTCAGTGGCAATGATGCTGTGGTTCATTTTTTCAATGTGTAGCTTGTTTTCTGGTGACAGACAAGAAAACCCTATATTGAAGATTTCCCACTTGAGGGTCTTTTTGCACAACTAGCGAGCAAGCCATCCTCATTGATGTTTATTAGCACCAGGCATTTCCTTCCTTATAATAGCTAGGCAATAACTGGGAGGGAATTGTACCCCAAATTGAGGCTACCTGGGGTTTACTCATGAGTAAGTCTGCCTTTGCACAGCTCTTGCAAAAGTACTTAAAAAATTAATTGTGGCCCAATTCCTCCTCCTTAATAGTTAGCTGGAGTTATAGTTATATATATATATTTAAGTAACCTTTTACATTCCCATTAGTTAAAATTACTTTAAAAGTTACATTTCAGTTACTTAAAGATATATACACCTAAGTGCTATAGGACTCTGATCCGCAATGAAAAGCATACTTTTCATATGCACTTCATAAGTGCCTGAACACCCACAGCAGAGAACGAGGCAGTGGAATGAGCCAGTGAGTGTGAGCCAGTCCTTGAACCATGTAACATCTCTGCTCTGCCATTTTGTGAGGTCAATGTTGTAACTATAAAAGTAACTCAAAAAATAACAGTGATACCACAAAAGTAGTGAAGTTATCCTTTTACAAGAAAAAAGAAATGTAGTTATGCCTTTGTTAGTGGGGAAAAAAAGAACTGATTATACAGTATTAGTATTGTATATAGTTACTCCCAATCTGTGTTTATGCACAGGATTCAGAGCAGGGGCTGGGAACATCAGGTTGAGTTGCTTGGGTGAATCTACTCGTCATAACTCCTTGTTTGAAGCAATATGAGATTATGTCTACTTAAAAGTAGACCTACTCATAAACAAACATTCCAGTGTGCTGATTATCTCTTGAATATAGACAGCCTGGGGCATGAGAGGTTCATATAAATTTGATGCAAAGAATAAAAAATTTTAAAATGTCAAAGCAATTTTTATATAGAAAAAAAATCCCTTCTTCTCTATGGGAAAAAACTGCACAGTAGTTTTGAAAGCCTGTCCCACGTGCAAAGTTATCCACACAGATCCCACACATAGAATGTTTAGAAGTCTGGTTTCGATGGAATATATTCTTCTCCAGCATGATTATCCACACTATTTTAGGAATGACAAGGGATTGGACTAGCCACTAAACTATTCCTGGCATTGTTTCAGAGAATTACTTCTTAAAAGGTCCTGCCAGTTTAGAACTATCCATTGCTATTCAGTGGCATTATTCTAATCAGGCCATAAACACAGTGGTGAAGTAACTTTTATCATGAAGTACATTCCCATAGTTTCAATGGGATTAAATTCCAAATGACTGTGTCCAGAACCACAACTTTAATTATCCTTTGACTGCAATCTTGTTCTCAAAATTCAACCTAACGGAGAACAGCTATTAAAGAAATGGTATGCCACTAGTGCATCAGACTGCGGCAGTCTGTCTTCAGCCCTTAGCAGGTAAGCTCCAAGACAGCCAGCAATTCTGTTCTAGCAGATACTATAATAAACCATAAAAGGCAAAGAGCCAATTTCCTCTCCTCTGTGCCCCTGGTTTTACTGTATTTTATTTTGTTCTCTTCTTTTATTTCCAGCCTCATATCCAGCATTCCTGAACTTGCTCAGGCAATCTGCTGCATTGACGGTGGTAATTTTTGTCTCCCTTTCCTGTTAAATATAGATTTTTTGTCTTCTTGTTTTTCTACCAAACTTGAGCATGGCTTCTTGTGAACTTTGTCTACCTCTTGGTTCTTTGTGGCCTCATTTTGATTCCATTTGTGGGTCAATGAGTTCACCACAAAAATGCCCAGCAGCATGGATGGAATCCTTTATATCTCATGCTGAATTTGAACAAACTGTAAGGTGAAATATAAATATTCTGCTTGAATTCTGAAATTTGCACTTACGAATAGTAATAATCATGTGCTGTCAAGTCAATTCTGACTTATGGTGACTCTTGCCAGTTTTTCCAGGTCTAGAATACTCAGAAGTGGTTCACTGGGCCCTTCTCCTATGGCACCTTGGGACTGTGCAGCTTGCCCATGGTCATACAGGCTGTCTCTACTTCCAGGAGACAGACACAGTGGGGAATCCAACTTCAGCCAAATACCTAAACCACTAAGTAATATGAATTAAGTACAGTGGTGCCTCGCATAGCGATCGCTCCATTTAATGAAGAAATCGCTTTGCGATGATGTTTTTGCAATCGCTTAGCAACGGTCCCTATGGGGAAAATTCACTTTCCAATGATCGCAGGGAAGCGATCATCGCAAAGCCCCCATTTTCGGCCAGCTGATCGGCGGTTCCAAAATGGCCACCGGGTAAACAAAATGGCCGCCTGCTGTGTTGCCTCGCTTTAGAGGCACCAAAATGGCCGCCCCTATGGAGGATTTTTGCTTAAGGTTAGTATTTAAGCCCATAGGAACTCATTAATGGCATTTTAATGCGTTTCTAGGGGCTTTTTAATATCGCGTAGAGATGATATCGCTTAGCAGCGATTTTTGCTGCACGGATTAACATCGCTAAGCAAGGCACCACTGTATATGTATCTGCTGCAGTCTCCTCTTAGCAGATCAGTGTTAGAGTGATACTTTGGATCCTAAGTGCTACTGAAATGTCGCTGAGAGGGTTCTCCATTAGAACAGAACAGTGGCCATGTGGTATGCATTTATCTATTAATACCAATACTAATAAAAACAAAACAAGATGTGCCTTGTGTAGCTTTCAGTCTGAGATCCACAGCTCCAGAACATGAAACGTAGATAAGTGAAATGTAGCATGCATGCTAGATGCATGCTGGGGGTGTTGTTTGGTTTTAAAAAAATACATTGATTCTAATTTAATTTTGATTCAGACATATTTTCAACATCTCTGTATTCGAAGGCTGCCATATACCTCCAGTCTTTAGATGGCAGACATTCCTAAACAATGCATAGATTCACAGTCACTACAGTTTGAAGCCAGTAGTGAGTAGTATGCCTCTTTCAAAAGACTCATGTGGGAAAATATCTCCTTCAGATGTCTAGAGGGATGCACTATGGCAAGGGCCATGATTATGGTTTCCCATGGATCTAGCTTCTTTCAGACCAGTGGTCCCCAACCTTGGGCCTCCAGATGTTCTTGGACTTCAGCTCCCACAAATCTTGGCCAGCAGAGGTGGTGGTGAAGGCTTCTGGGAGTTGTAGTCCAAGAACATCTGGAGGACCAAGGTTGGGGACCACTGTTTCAGACAACCACACTGACAGCTACTTGGTTGCTTTTTCTGATAGTGTGTCAAAAAGGGAGGGAGGCAGTTGCGACCTATGCAAATTCTATCCTTCTCTCCATAGGTAAAGGTAAAGGTTTCCCTTGACAATTTTTGTCCAGTCGTGTCCGACTCTAGGGGGCGGCGCTCATCCCGCTCTTCAAGCCATAGAGCCAGCGTTTGTCCGAAGACAATCTTTCCGTGGTCACATGGCCAGTGTGATTTAGACACGGAATGCTGTTTACCTTCCCACCAAGATGGTACCTATTTATCTACTCGCATTTGCATGCTTTCGAACCGCTAGGTTGGCGGGAGCTGGGAGAAGCAACGGGCGCTCACTCCGTCGCATGGATTCGATGTTACGACTGCTTGGTCTTCTGACCCTGCAGCACAGGCTTCTGCAGTTTAGCCCACAGCGCCACCACGTCCCTTCTCTCCATACGCGTATAAAATTGCCAAACTCTATTTGTTATTTACACTAGCATAAGTGCAATGGCAAAAATCACATTGGCTAATTGCAATTGTATTGTTCACCATGTGCAAAGCCACATGGCGGAATACAAGCAGCAACTAAATGATGAGCCTAAATTCACCATTGCAATTTGCACCATTATACTTATACTGGTGTAGATAACCAATACGATGTAGGCCAATATATATATACTTGTGTGTGTGTGTGTGTGAGAGAGAGAGAGAGAGAGAGAGAGAGAGAGACCGAGACCGAGACCGAGACCGAGACCGAGACCGAGGAGTATATACATATAAACACACATGCAGTTATATGACAGCCAGTGAGGTATAGTGGATAGAATGACAAACTAAGATTCAGAATTCAGATTAGTGATGTGTATTCAGATTCATAAATATTCAGAATTCATTGAATAATGCCATATTTTGATAGTTCCAAATATATTCAAATCCATTTTTATAGTTCTGTATATAATAATAATTTATAATATTCAGCATTTCATTTATTCCTATACTTTAGAAAGCAAAAGGCTAAATTTCTGTTTGCTACGAGGAAAAAATGAAAGTGAAACCTATTTCTGGAGTACTTTCTTGAGAAAGGAAACTTAAAGACATTCTGGCACCAAGGGCAGTGGGTGCAGAGACCAAAGTGTCTCCTGATTGGGGTTGCTATTGGTTTCCCAAGGGCGGGATCTGGGGTGAGAGTACAGATCTGTACATGATGTCTGACACTGAAATCACCCTTCCCCTCCAGCTGCACTTTTCCCACCAGTTGCCAGAACTAATAATGATGACAGGTTATGAACATGTAGTCAAAAATTGGAGCTTCCAAGAAGTCAATAATCTGGAAGCATTTTCAACCATGTGTAACATGTTCACATGGTTGAGTACATGCACTGCAAGAAGGTGCTCAAGCATGGGCAAAACGTGGACCACCTCTTCAATAGTAGCATGCTCAGTCAACTGAAAACTCAACACAGGGCATTGCTGCTGGCAAATGAAGTAGGTACTGTGGAGGTAAGTGGCTTCCTTATTGTAAAGTGTAATAGCCATCAGAGAACAGAGAGTGAGCCACCAGAATGGGGAAGCAGGGACATAGATGGCCAAATATCAAGAGGTGGGAGGCAGCAAATGCCAGACTCACTTCACAAGAATACATTCCAGGCTTGGAGGGGAAAGATCTCTTGCAGATGTAAAAATGCCATGATTACTTGTCTTCAATGACAAGCCATTCTTTCTGGTGGAGAACACTGGTTTCCATAGGCTTGTGGCAGAACTAGCACCTCAAGCATGGTAGGGGCTTGTCCTCCAGAGACACAACCTCAGAGGAAGCACATGGCAGAGGCAGAGAAGCAAATGCAGGAGCTTTGCAAGCCAAAAGAGATCAAAACCTTGTCTCACTGGGCTAAGAAGTCTGTTTTAGGGAAGTCTGGCCAAGGTGGCAATGGGAATGCTCTCTTGCCTACCAACTAGAATGCCTACTGAGAAAGTGTTCTCTTTGGCAGGGGGACATTGTCAGTCTAGCACACTCATGCTTATAACCTGGGTCTGTAGAAAAACACTTCCTTAAGGTCAAGGTTACCATTTCTGGAGTTCCCTAAGTCCTCTTTAAGTAAGAGAGACAGAGATGGGCAAATCTATGCCCCACTACTGGGTATGCCATGCTAATTGCTATTACAAGATTGTACTCACTCACTCAATTGTGCTGCTCCCATGCTGTTGGCACTACTTCCACCCACCACAGGCTATCTGCTGCTCCCATCTGCCTGCCAGCGCTGCTCATACTCACTCCCCATTGCAACCAGTCCTCTGCTATCGGGAAATGCTGAATTCTTAAAATTCCAAATTTTGAATTCAAAGGGCTGCAATTCTGAATTTTGAATCTGAATTTTGATGCTAGTGCACATCCCTAGTTCAAAACTTTGCTTGGCCATGGAAGCCCATTTGGAAGAGTCTTCAATTCTGGACAGTTTTATGCTCAAGAGTCACCTATTAATTGAGCTGGATTACAGCTCTCAGAATACAGAGATTCTAGGGGCAGGGGGAAAGATTCTCTTTTTTTCTAGTCCAAAAAAAAGTAGCTTTCCCAAGATTTGACTATCCAGCCACATAAATAACATAAATAAACTGGTTACCTGAAGGCTTGAAATAGAGCATGGTTTTTCCAGATTCTGTTTTTCCAAGTTTGTACCAGCTGCCATCCATTGACCACATCCATTCGTCAACCACACAGTAATATTGGCCCTGGATATCATAATCTGGAGACAGAATAAGCAGTCGGTAGAGATGACTGGAGACCTTCGCACTGTGAAATCTTGATTTCTGATTCGGAAGACTGAATGCTTCTCCATATTCCAATATATTACTATAATTGGTCTTTAAAATAATCAGTGGAGCTGAATTCACAGCGGACAATGGCAGAAAATACCAAGTGACACTCAACTGAGAATTCCCTTTTGTCAGTGCTGAGATTTTGCAATCAATAGTTGCATCTTCCTTGTTAGAGATTTCCAAAAGCTTTGCATCTGTGCAGACTTCCAGCTTGCTTTCTACATGAAGAAATAAAGAGATCAGTAAGTGAGTATTGCTGGTGCCACAATTAGGGGCAGCTCATGAGTTCAGTGAGAGTGGGAACCCCCCTCTCCCTCCTCCCCAATTTGAGAGCACCCCCTGCATTCCAGTCACAGGCTGCCTATGTTCATTGAAAGATTGTTTTTAAGGAGGCACTAGAGAATTAAAAAGACAAGTAGAAATAGGAAACGTTTGGTAAACAGATTTCTGTTTTCAAGGAACATGTCAGAATTGCAAAGCTGTACAATTTGGTAGTAACTGAATATTTAATGCAGGAACTGTTGCAATGCCCTTATTATTCTGCTGCGTACTGTTCATCATGCAGGCTCCCCATGTAATCCAGAACCCTTCATTATCAGGTTCTAAATCATGCATAGAATCTACGTGCCTCCTGCGGACACCCTGCTTTTTACCTTATGTTCACATGCATGGATACTGCCAATGTAATTCTAGTCAAGTGGAGCTGGGATAACATTGGGGAAAAAAGTATTTTAAAAGACCTGGGAGTTTGTGCTACAGACAGACTTAAATTACTGCTATTTATACTATTTTTAAAGAGAGAATACAGTATCTATTTCTCTTTTATTCCTGAATCTCCATCTTAAATATATTATAGACTGCTGTTGCAAATATGCTGGAAAATGCATCAGTTCCACACCTTGCTTTCTCATGAAATTTGAAAGCTTGCACGGTAGGTTTTCAATTGGTCTTCAAACATATAATGTTTCTGAAATCCCATGGCTTAGTGCAGTAAATTGCACTAGAGTAGGCCCATGGAATCTGTGGGAATTTCTCAAATCAACACATCATAAATTCCATTGATTCCAATGGCCCTACTCTAGTGATTTATTTTAATGTAGTAAGTTGCAGCTACAGTGGTACCTTGGTTTACGAATGCCTTGGTTAACATAATTTTCAGTTTACGAACAAAAATCCACTGAAAATAATGCCTCAGTTTACAATTCCCCCCCCCCCCGCAATATGAAGCAAGTTTGCATTGTGCCTGGGAGGTTTATAGTGCTGCATCCATGCATGCATTCCTATGGGAAACCGTGTTTCAGTTTGTGAATTTTTCACATTATGAAATGTCCTGGAGAACGGATTAAATTTGTAAATCGACGTACCACTGTAGAGTAGGCCCGTTGGAATAAATGGGATTTATGGAGGTCTTGACTAACCAAATCTCCACAGATTCTGTGGGCCTTTTCTAGTGCAATTTGTTATACTAAGCAACAGGTTTCAACCACTTTTTTAGATTTGTTTTCTGCCTTCTCCTGTTTTCTTGGACTGCTTCCACATTTATTCCACAAGGATAAATATGGATTGTATTTCTGCTGTAGATAAAGACTGATGTATCATCCTGAATCAGGATGGAGAGCATTTCCTCCCATGGCCTGCATGCCTCAGTCAAAAGCAAAGGTTGAAATAACTACTGTGTTTCCCGAAAATAAGACAGGGTCTTATATTAATTTTTGCTCCAAAATGCATTAGGACTTATTTTCAGATGTTATATTTTATAGTCATGTCAACTTCTGGTTGTTGCATAATGCTGCACAATGGTGGAGGGCAGGGTTTCACTTAACTAGGGCTTATTTTTGAGGTAGGGCTTATTTTCAGGGACACAGGATAGTTGAAAACTTGTTTCCCAGCTTGTTGAATTTTTCATCAAGCTGGGAAACTATTCATTATTTTAACTATTAAAAATGAAATAACTATTCATTATTTTAATCATTAAAACATCTAGTGACACCATTTTAGTTTCTTGTTATGTCAGCTTGTTCAGGTAATGTTCAGTAATTCTTAAACCATTTAAAGTTAATTTTTAAAAAAGAAGGAGAGCCAGACAAGACAGGAGCTACTATTATCCTAGAGAGCAATATAGACAGGAGCTACTATTATCCTAGAGAGCACTATATAGAGATGGGGATATTTGTATTCGCATATGAATACAGTGGTGCTTCACTTGACGAGGATAATCCGTTCCAGCAAAATCGCTGTAGAACAAAATCGTTGTCAAGTGAAAGTAAAAAAAAAAACCATTGAAAAGTACTGAAAACTGGTTCAATGCGTTCCAATGGGCGAAATACCTCAGTGTCCAGCGAAGATCCTCCATAGGGCGGCCATTTTCCGGTGTCTGTATAGTGAGGAATCTGTCCTAAAACACAGCGGGGAGCCATTTTGCACAGTGGGCGGCCATTTTGAAGACCCAACGATCACCTGTTTTGTTCATCGTTAAGCAAAAAATCGGTTCCTCACGATCACCTGTTTTGTTCATCGTTAAGCGAAAAATCGGTTCCCCGAAGCAGGGAACCGATCATCGTCAAATGATTTTTCCCTATTAAAACATCATTTTGCGATCACTACAGCGATTGCAAAATACTCATCGTAAAGTGATTTCCTCATCTAATGAGGTAATCGTCAAGCAGGGCACCACTGTACAAATATCCCTGCACAGCTGTAGGTAACGGGTATGGCCCCCGGGGCCAGACTGTCCACTCACATGTCTGGCGGTGGCAGCCCCTCTCTTCCTTCCGATCACTCCGGAGGACAGCTCGGCTAGTCACTCCTCAGTCTTGCAGGGAGACTTGTCCTCCCTCCCTCTGCCAGGAGTGGCTAGCCAACCAAGAAGAGAACGGGGCTTGGGAGCGATTGGAAGGATGAGCAGAGCGGCCACCACTGGCAGATGTGTGAGTAGACGGTCCAGCCACTGGGGCCTTGTTAATTCTAGCTGCGTGGAGATATTTGTATACAAATATTCCCATGTCTACTCATATAGACTGTTTCCACCTTAGTTTAGTTAGTAAAATGTCAACATATTTGTGCAGGAGGGGTACTGGAAGGGTGAATCCATGCAGGGATGGTATCAAAGGCCACTGAGATATTGAGGAGGACCAACAAGGACATATTGCCCCTGTCAGTCTCCATCAAGTCCAACTGGAACGGATCAAGGACATTGTTTCCTCCAGAAGTGCCTGGAGCTGATTGGCCACCACCCTTTCAACCACTTTACTCAAGAAAGAAACATTGGCGACGGGCATATAATTCCCAATTTCGTCCATTGCCAAATTAGGTTTCTTTTGAATGGGCCTAATGAGTATCTCCTTGAGGGCAGGGAATGGGCCTAATGAGTATTTCCTTGAGGGCAGGGAAAACCACGCCCTCCTGGAAATACCCATTAATTACTGCAGTGGCTCATTCTGTTACTGGCTTGGCTGCTTTGATGGGCCAGGCTGGACAAGGATCTAAAGAGGAGGTGGTGGCACAACAGCACGCAAGCACCCTGTCCACCTCATTGGATGTCACAGGTTGAAAGCAAGTTAACTTCACCAGACAAGACGATGCACTGGACATCTCAGCTCGATCTACTGTCTGTAAAAAGGGATCAAGGTCCCGGCAGATGGCCTCCACTTTAGATTTTTAAAATGCCACAGATTAGTCACAGGAAATACTAGAGGGAGGCCTTTCACTTTGGCTAACTCCGGATAGATTGCGTATTATACGGAAAAGTTCCACCTGCTGGTTGTGAGCTTTGCTTCTCCAGTCAGCGAAGAATGCTCTTCTAGCAACCTTTACCTTAGCTAGGTAAAGGTTAGATGCGATCCTGGCAGCTTTTAGATTAATTTCTGTCAGGGTCCTTCTCCAAATGCACTCTAACCTTCTCCAATTATTCTCCATGGCCCTCAGCTGCTGGTTAAAGCAGGGAGCTGTTAGGGCTCAGCGGTGGAGAGGGTGTTTACATATGATCGTGTTGACTGCCTTGGTGGTGGTGGTGGTGGTATACCAGTCATCCACCAGAGCATTGACAGGAGCGCCAACCAAGTCAGCCAGAATCCCCCGCATGATATCTTGGAATCCATCAGGATCCAGTAACCTGTGGGGGCGGACCATATTATAGGGTCCAAGCTCCCTGCGAAAGGGAAGTGCCACTGAGAGGCTGCATTTAATTAGGTGGTGATCCAACCATGACAAGGAGGCCAGTATCAAGTCACCCACCATTGGAGCACACTCTCTTTGCTCAGCAGCAAAGACCAGATCCAGCATGTCTTTTATACATTCTTGGGACCAATCACAAAATACATTACTGCATTTCACACTTAACATAAGGTTACATCATTTTCTCCAGCTTTACAACATCAAGTCTTAAACCTTGGTACCCACTTGAATCCACTTAGTACATGACGCAGGTAATAGAAGCCATTTTACTTTCTACTATAGAACATTTATATTTAATATATTTTCAGATCAAAATCTCAACAGTTCCTGTGATTCAACTCCCCACCCATGCACTAACCTGGCTTCCATGCCCCATCTCCTCTGGGTGTTGCCTCTGAGTGGGCACCTGCTGGAGGGGGCAGGGTGCTGAACCACAGAACATCTGTTCAGTCAACCGCCGGACTGGCACAAACTACCAAACTGTGCCAGTTCATGCCCATCTCTAGTTACATGAATACCTTAGTGCTATTGATAGTATTTCCAGACTCTGGCCAAGACCTGTCAGGAACTACATTACAGGAGAAGACATGTTCAAAAGACAAGAGCAGAGTTACAGATGCAGTTCTTTGGGCATCTTCAAGACTTTGGGGAGAGAGTGCAAGGTTCCCCATCTTTAAGAAAGTGTGAGTAAGCATAGAGAAAAGGCCTATATGACAAACAGAAAAATTTGTAACCACAATTGAAAAGCCTATTTATTCAAATTCATATCCTGTCACATTGAGTAGTTTAATTTCAAGTAAACATGTGTGATTATGATTACAGCCCTAACATTGTTTATATGCAAAGAAATGATGCATTCATTTTTTATGTTCCTTGCTCCCTTCTTTCTAAGATGGCCTAATTTGTTCACATTTTCCAACAGGCAGGACTGAAATCTGCCTCCAGCGGTAGGCACCAAAAGGGAATAGGTCTTTAGCAGGCTTTTCATATTTAGTCTACCAGAGATAAAGTTACTTTTTGGGATTACAAGTCTGAAAATTCACCAGGACATTCTGACAGTTGTGATGCAAGAAAGAAACTTTTTATCATCTCCAGAATCTGCCAGTTACTAGGAAAGCTAGGTGACCTGCAATTAGCTGCTGCATCAGAAGAGGAAGAAGGATAGGCCACCTGTTGTCTGAAAAATAACCCTAAATCCTATGCCCAAGTTTGTTGATTCATTTTGGTTCGAGTCTTGGTGTTAATCAGGTTAGTAAGATGTGGAAAGAAGAGGTGTAGATGTGGGGTGACTCTTCTAGTCCAGGTACAGGAAACTGGCATTTGGACCACAGTCTGAGTATCTCCATACCTGCCCTATATCATCAGTACAAATGCAAAACTATCAATTCTTGGATAATAATACAGAAGGATAAAACATCACAGATTGTATGAGGATGGCCACATATCCTCTTCTGTCTTTCTCTGACCTTTTCCCATGTGCTAATGTGCCTTCTTCTCCTTCTTCACATGTCCTGACTTTCATTTATGCCCACAATTCCTACTAAACTGTTTAGGAGACATTATTGCCTATCCGAAAGTAATCAAAGAGCACATAGAAAGAAAATGGCATTTGACTTCTAACTTTTACATCAAGTATATTCAACAGGTTTCTGGCTTTTCCAGGTTGCTACATTGGTGAACCCCAGAGAAGAAGAGTTATTATGTAGTACAGGGCACTGATGGTTATGAAAAGGACTGTGGCCACTTCCAGCATCTCTCAAGGAAGTACAGTCATGCCTTGCTTAACGATTGCCTCGCTTAATGAGGAAATCACTGTACGATTAAGTTTTTGCAATCGCAAAACGATGGTTTAAATGGGGGTTTTCCGCTTTGCGATGATCAGTTCCTTGCTTTGGGAACCGATTTTTGCTTTACGGAGATCAGCAAACAGCTGATTGTGGGTTTCAAAATGGCCACCGGTTGAAGAAAATGCTCCCCCGCTGTTTTCTAGGACAGATTCCTTGCTTTACAGGCACCGAAAATGGCCACCGTATGGAGGATCTTCGCTGGACGAGCAGGTATTCAGCCCATTGGAACATATTGAATGGTTTTCAATGCGTTTCAATTGTGTTTTTTTTTTTATTTTATCAATGTGTTTCAATGGGTTTTTTTTTATTTCATCTGACAACATTTTCGGTCTACAGCGATTTCACTGGAATGAATTAACATCATCAAGCGAGGCACCACTGTACCAAAACATGACCTAGATGTTCCCCTTCTTTTACTATCAAGTGTTCTGGAAGCACATAGAGAGACTGCAGAGAAATGGCTGTAATGATATCTATTTGAGGAGATTCTGCTCATTTTTCCTGCCAGGATCCTCATTAGATGTCAGAGCAGTATACTTGATTTCCATCCGAAAAAGTCCATTACAAAAGTTGTGACAGTCTTCCCAACACTAATCTCTCTAAAGAAATCCAAGTTATTGCTTTTAAGTTTTCTGTCACCCACAGTGGCCTTGCTAAAGAGGGATGACATGAAAGGAGAAATCAAAACCCACTTCAATTTAATTAACTGAACACAATCTCCACATTTCCTCTCTTGCTTTCAACCAGACTGCTGACAGGGCAGTCTTGTCTCTCTGTGGTAGCAACTGAAGTATGCAAAAGAAGAAGCCAGCAGCTGCTTCAAATTATATGCACAGACAGCCAATGTGCATCTCTGCAAAAGCCATTGTCTATCCACAGTTGGTGCAAACCTCCCGGTATGAGTCATTTTAAAAATATTTGGAATATTTTTCTTTTCCAGAGAATTGGTCAGATCTATTGTGAGTAGCTCTCAGTTTCTTGCTATCAGATTTGGTTATTGCTCATTCTTGGTAGGTAGAAACACGTGTTTTTCAAAGAAGGTGGTTTGTTTATGTCCTTTTGGAACAACATGTTGTAGAAGGCCAAGGTAAAATAACCAAAAAGTGAAATACTGAAGATACTTGAATCAGTTATTAAAATTCCAGGGAGGAAAAAGTCTTCACCTCACAGACAGAGGACCATAGGACTGATGCAAGGAAAGGTTTTTTTTTTTTTTAAAAAGCATTCCATAGATAGGGTGACACCCCAGAAAAGGCCCTCTCTCCCAAAAACACCACTACCTTGCTGAGTTTAGGGTCCTTCAAAGCTTGGAAGTATACACTTAGAGATAGCATAGTTGCTTGCAATTGGTTGACAATTAGGGTGTCAAACTAGATTGCATTTCAAAACTAACATAACCAATAGGTCCAATGTTAGTTTTTCTGATGTATAATGAACAGTAGTTTCTAATTACTTTGGGGCACGACTTTTAAAATAATTTTTAAGAGACATTTTGTCAGGAAATTTTCAAGTGTTACGTCCTCCAGTTATCAATCCGGAGTTTTGCCTCATCTTTGACATTTCTGTATTGTTACCAAATTGGCCAGGTTTGTACAACACCCATGCAGTCTCATTTTCACCGAGGCATTTATGTGCACACCACAGACCACTTTCGGAGGTCAACTTGTCAGGTCAAGGACAAGTATAGATTAAAAACAGTGGCTGTGAAGAAATAGCCTCTGGTCTAAAGTGAGCCAAGCCCACAAGAGGAAATAAGAGGAAAATAACTCTAAACAATCCCTATCAAAATAACATAGAATACATGCATATATCAGCCAAAGAATCATCTCATAGGACAGCCCTCCTCCAGAGAGGCCAAATAAATTAGATCACCTTCTTTCATTTTTGTATTGCAAGGGTTTTCTGTAGTTCTAGAATAGCAAATAACCTAGAATGGTCCACATTTTCATAAAGAGTCTGGCCATCTTCTCCTTCCTGTCCTGTGACTCTGGACCACCTGATAGAATTAGCCAGGTGGACAAGATTCATATGTGGGGGCACATTAAGTGGACACATGACGAACAAGGGGACACATGATCACTCAAGTCAGCCTGGCCCAAATCCAGATTAAAAGACCCATGATGCCACGTGGCATTAGAGGCTCCAGGTTGAACATGCTTACTGTTTCCATGTTTCCATTTCTACCTGAACCCTGTTGCTGCTGCTACTGCTGAAGGCCTCCTGCTGATCCCTGTCAGGTCATTTGTGCTAACTTCACTTTCTGAGCTGAAATAACTTTTTGTGCCCCCTCCCTCCGGAATCCAGGATTTAGCCAGAGAATCCTGCCAGCCTATATTGCTTTCCTGAATTTTTGGCGTCTAGCCTAGAACCTCTGTTAGTCTGTTCTCTCTTCTGATTCTTGCCCTAGAATTACCTCCCATTGTTCCGGCTGGAGTTCCAAAGTTCCTCAGCTTCAAAGCAGTCTAAGGAGACTAAGAGGAGGCAATCTTTTGTCATTCCTACTCTATCTTCTGGGGGTATTTTTCCACACATTCGTGGCTCCTCAATCTACCCTCCTCTTTCCCTTGTACACGTGTGTATTCATGCATGAGTGCGTTTGTGCATATGTTTATGGAAAGATCCTTCTTTCCTTTCCTGTTCTTGTAGACTACGTAGCATTTTCTATTCAATTGAAAGTAGTGGTTCCTGATTTTGTGAAGAATGAAGTTGCAAGAACCAAAGAGGTCTCAGCATCCTATTATGATTTGTAAGGTGAACCCCATCTTGCATGAACGAACAATTTTCTGGAGATAAAAGAGATTACACACTTGTGCTGTTTACTCTCTGAGCTGTCATGTGTGATTCACACATATATGGCTGCCCCCATGCAGAGCCACAGTTCAGAAGATTATAGACTGAGTTTTGGTGGTAGATCCACCACCACTTCCTCTAGAGTATGTTCAAACTGCTGTCCTTCAGTTCAAAATGTGGGTGATGGTAACAGTCAACTGCACATGCCAAGTCAGGGAGAAAAGGTGAATGATATGAACACACAGATGACCTTCCCAAGAATATACAATTTTAAAACAAACTCTCCAGTTTTGCCAAGTCTGGTTGGAAAGGAACCCAACAATTTATTACAGATGCATTACATTCTTCTCCAATGCAGAAAAGACACTTCTTGTACCTATCTACGAGGGGATGTTTTCCTCTGAAAATAGAAAAGCACTTCAAGAACACCTCTGGGATCTTAGGCCCCAAGGGGAATGTGAATCCAAAATTAACAAAATGTAAAATAAATTAAGGGTATAAAGGAACCTCAATACTAAAAACTAGTATTAGTCCATTCTCTCTGAGGTATTATACTAGTGCAAACGTTGTGTTGGACAAACCAGAACTGAAGGACAGGTATTCTGCACATGGACAATGAAGAAATGTGGCAGGAGAAACGGGGGCCCCCACAAGATACTCCCTGGTTATGTAGTCTTCAACCTTCCATCTAATTTTCAGCACTGCTGGGCAGGGATCTGCCCCTGAGCATGCCACCCCTGTGGGATTCCATCATGACCAGAAGCAAAGGGGCTGAAAATGATTGCTGTGGGTGCTCAAAGGAAGGGGAGCCTTGCATGGAGAGGGGCGGAGGTGCGCACGCACATGCATGCATCTTAGAGGGAATCTTGGTAGTGTTGACTAAGACAAAGATTTGTCAGACCTTGGAAGTAAATAGTAACAAGCCATCTGTAAGCCCCCCCCCCCAGTTAATGGAGGGGCAACAAGGTACAACTAGGTTACAATGCAGCCAGAAGTTACAAAGGTACTTTTTGATGTAATGAGTAACAGTTCTAATTACTTTCAAGTAATCAGAGAAAAAAAGAATTTAAAGAAAAATTTGGAGGCATTTTCATAATCCACCCCCCGCCATTTTTAAAAATGACAAGGGATGTATTGGAGTTTGGGTCCTCCCCCCCCATTTTGAATTTTTGTATTTTCAAGATGCAGTATAAGGTTTGGCCATTAGAGAGGGAGTATTTTCCTGTATTTTTCTAGCTTACTTCATAAGACAACACAACACCTTAACAATATACAATGCAATGAATGTGACTGGACTAGCAGTAACTGTCAGCTGGCCATCTGAAAGCAATGAGTAATGCAATGATTTCTTCCTTAAAAATAACAGTCTAAGTGCCATGCCGTGTACCTACTTGGTTTGCTGACATTTATCTCGACGGCATTAGAAGGTATCACTGCAGCTGCTTCCACTGTTGCTGAATCTCTGCCTGGCCCTGAGCTTTTCCAGATTTCTATTTCACATTTGTACATCCCTGCATCTCTCCATGTGGCACTATGGATGAAGAGGTGGGATGTTGAGGAAGATTTAGTGATCTTGGTTTTCTTCTGGAAGTGCAGATGGGCCATTCCCCATTCAATGGTGCCTCTTGCAGTGATTTTCACAAATTGCTGATAGTTACCCAGGCCTGAGGTGGGCTTGAACCACCAGGTGATGGATGTGTGTAGTTTGTTGATGTTGTCATTAGCAGACACCTTGCAGAACAGTTCAAAATCTTCATCGAATTTTACATTTGGAATTCTGCTGCTCAGAACAGCTGTCAGATTCAACCCTGTTGATCAAGATAAAATTATTGATATATTACATTCCATATCATAGAGACTGTATCTTTTGCTTCATAAGTGGCTGTCAATTTTCTAAGTTCAGAAAATCTTGCTCGCTTTACTTTTTTAAAGAAAGGCACCACTATTATCCTAAATAATTAGATGTATTTTGAATAAATACAAAGTATATTTTAAGGAAACAAATTCATAGAAAGGAGAGGGAGTGGAAGAGCAGCTGAACTATGGCCTGAAGAAGTAATCCTGAAGACTATGGTCTGTCAGTTTCATTCTTCCACCTGACTGGAAAAGAGAAGTGTGAATTAAGCTGGCTCAAGATTGGTGGTTAAACTGACTCTACCATTACCCTTTTTCCTGCTTAGGATTTTCTTAGTAATACAAACCTTAGCAGTAGGCTGGCAGGTCAAGTCCATTTTTATGCTCTAATAACCAATCGGACCACAAAGCACATTAAACACTAGATATATAGGTGAGAAAATAATGTACTATGAAAAACTCAACTGATGCCCACAGGAGGTAGTTTTCCAAGTGCTGACTGAATGTCTTTCTCTGCACAAAGGGGTACCATACAGCACTTATTCAATGTTTCTCCCTGCACAACAAACGGGACCATGACTGATAGTTGCTGGACATGGGGTTTGCAACGAAGGGCCTACCTCTTCTTGCTAACATAACTATTGATTTTAATTTTACTTTGTTGTAACAGAAAAATAAGTTACTTTGGAAACCTTTGCAATTAATGAATGAAATAACAAACTAATGCATAATGAATTATATGACCAAAATGCTATTGGTGTTCAGTAATGTTTGCATTGCTAAGGTACTACACTCAATATGCCAGCAAGTTTGGAAAACTCAGCAGTGGCCAGAGGACTGGAAAAGATCAGTCTACATCCCAATCCCAAAGAAGGGCAGTGCCAAAGAATGCTCCAAATACCGTACAATTGCACTCATCTCACACGCTAGCAAGGTTATGCTCAAAATCCTACAAGGTAGGCTTCAGCAGTATGTGGACCGAGAACTCCCATCACACTCCTGTTAGCTCTCCCTGTTCACTAGCTCTGGTCACAAGCTCCCCGAGTCTGCCTCAGCTTTATTCCTCAGCTGTGTTCTGTTAGGAGTAAACAATCAAAAGCCCCTCCCAGAACTCATAGCTCCTACTTACAGCTCTTAGCATTAATCAGGACACCCCCTTTCCAGTTAAGATGAGCACATGGCCCTGCCTCTTAAGCTGAGCACATGGTGCTTCTGGGATGAGGAATTCCTAGGGGTTACACCAGGTGTTAATATTTTAAAAAATCACTCACCCCTCTGCCTTTGTATCCTTGGTCTCCCCATCTCTTTTATTCCTTCCTCCAGTAGCCCTGCCTTTCTTCCTACCTTTCCTTCCAATCTCGCTGCTGTCAAACTCCTGTTAGCCCTCTCTGACTGTGAGCTCCCTGGGTCTGCCTTGCCTTTATTTCTCAGCTATGCTTTGCCAGGAGTCAGCAGTCATATACACCAGTGGTCCCCAACCTTGGGCCTCCAGATGTTCATGGATTTCAACTCCCAGAAATCCTGGCCAGCAGAGATGGTGGTGAAGGCTTCTGGGAGTTGTAGTCCAAGAACATCTGGAGGCCCAAGGTTGGGGAACACACAATTCTGCAACTGAGAACTTCCCCTGTACATGATTTATTAACTGCAATTAATTGTGGCACATTCTCTAAAATTTACATGAATGTCAATAGGATTCTGGCCACTATTTAAAAAGCAGTTCTGGTAAAAGCCATCTCATTAACTCTCATGAACCCCACATTAGTTTATCACAACACAGTTCTCATTAAAAGATCTAATTTTACAGTTTACCTTTATAGTAGAGCTTTCTTTAGCCATGGATTATCTAGAAACTGAAGCCCCATAGCAGAAGTAGGGGCAGATGTCAGAAAATCATAGTACTCTTCCATCATATCATTCCCTTCTTTGTGTACATAGATGCTTCCTGACTTGGATTGTTTCTGAGCCAGCCGAGTCCAAAAACACAAAAGTATTGCCTTGGGCTCATCCAGAAATAGCTTAAATACAGCTCATTCAAGGATGCCAGAATGATATACCAGGAATACTTTGTACAATTTGCTACACATTGTCTTCATTGTGACTAGAGCTGGTTGGTCGCACAATGCCTTGAATGAGCATGCCAATATCTTGAGGGCAGCCTTATGGCAGGTTAGACAGAAGGAACACAAACTTAAATATGTCACAGTGCTAGGAAACTTCCTGATGCTAGGTCAAGCTGTTGGTTTATCTGACCCAACAACTGGAGTGATGGCAGCTTCTCAAGGTCTCAGGCAGAGGTTTTCTGCATCGTCTACTGACCCTTTTAAGTGGAACATGTCATGAATTGAATCTGGGATCTTCTTGCATGCCTAGCACATGCTTTCCATATGAGCTACATTTAATCTGCACAGTCATGGGCCATGATTCAAAGTGGGAACTGCTGTGAGTTTTCTCTCGCTTTTAGTCTGTACTTTACTGAAATAAGGCAAGACACTGAACCTATTTTGGGTATAGATATCAGGACCTTGGATAGTTCCTGTACTGTGCAAACTTAGAACTAAAGTGGATCCACAACAATATCCAAATTGGAGTCACCAATTGGAGTCACCAAATTGATGGTTCATCCTGATTCATTTACCAGTGTAATAGGGGTTCAGCAGTTCAGCGCCCCGCTGGTGGGCGCCCACTCAGGGGCAGCATCTCAGCTTCTTTGCCCCACCTCCTCCAGGCACTGCCTCTGAGTGCATGCCCGCTGGCAGGGACAGAATGCTGAACTGCTGAACACCTCTTGCAGCAGTAAACAAACTGGGATGAACCACAAAACCAATGGTTTATTCCCATCACTACCAGGCCCTACTGCATTTCCAAAATGTTTTAGTTTGAAACAAGAACCATTCAGTCTCTACCACATGGCAAAGATTCCAACACCTCATTTTTCCTTTTATTCTTCTGATTGTAAGTACTGATGAACTGTAAGTAAATAAACCTTTTTCTACTTCAAATGTTTCTAGAGTGATTTTATACCAGCAAAATGCTGGTTTTTGTGGGGAAATCAAAAGGATGTGTGTGATGAAAATAGGTTGATCTCTCCTCATTTCTCACTTTGCTAACTAAAAGGAAATAACCAAAAATCCCCAACAGGGACAGCTTACCTAGTGGTACAACTTTTGCTGAGATTTCTTGAGTGTATTTCCAGCTTCTGTCCTTGGACCTTTCTGTCACTTCACAACGATAGAGCCCTGTATCATTGCTGGATGAAGTGTGATAAATAGTCAAGGTAAATATGGAAGGCTCCATCTTCTCGGCTCTGACCTCACCACGAGCATTGCGTTCTACATAGGATGCACCTATCTTTAATTGTCCATCTTGATCCATGCTGGCTATGTGCACTGGAGTTTCTCCAGCCTTCTGGATAAGCCACCAGTTCACAGAGAGTGAATTTTCAGTTACACTTCCATTACAGTGAAGAACCAAAGCATCTCCTTCCATGATTTCTTCTTTATTGACTGAGACAAACAATTGCAAGCTGCTTTCTGTGAAGAAAAGACAGTGAAACATTTCGAGAGGTTAATCTAAATCAAAGCTCTGTAGTTCTACTATGATAGTGATTAAAAGAAAAGAAGACAGAATAGGTTTGGCTTCTGTCACTATTTAGTTCTAAGAATGTATCTAGAGCAGTGGTCCCCAACCGTTTTAGCCTCATGGACCGGCTGGGGGAGGAGGGGCACACCCCTGCACTCATGTGCATGCACAAAGGAGCACACACACTCGTGCACAGGGTGGTGCAGTACTTGCACGCGTGCAAACATAAATGGGCTGTGCAGGGGTGGTGAGGAGGTCTCTCCCCACAGCCCAGTCTGGATCAGGCCACGGGCCAGTATCAAGCCGCAGCCGGGGGGTTGGGGACCTCTGATCTAGAGACATTAGAGTTCCTAACCTTTGAGCTTTGTTAACTCTGTGATCACCAAATTCTTTGACTTCTACAGATCACTGTGGCTAAGAAATCTATAGACTCCTGTAATATAACACTTTATTTCTGGCACAAATATGGTTACACAGCACTGTAGAATATTTGCGAAGGAGATTGTAGCGAACAGCCCTGCCCTCTCCTGTCCGTCACAGTGGAACAGTTAAAAAAGAGCCAATGAGTGGACGGAAGGTGGAGCCAAGGGGGGTGGGGGCTGGATATAAAGGCTGGTATATGGAATCCGAGAGATTCTGTGAGTGGGAGACAGTGTGAAACTTAAAAGTGAACTAAGAGTGAGTTAGAGGTCTGAGAACGCTGAATGGAACAGAGAGTTAATAGAGTTCTGAAGTTAAATTAGAATTGATTCTAATACAAGTGATTAGCAACCTGTGATTTAATATTAATCAGATGGTAACTTCCCTGATTTAATAATTGAGTTAAGTTTCAAAAGTACACATGTCTCCTTGAGTGAATGGTATTGAGACAGCAATACCTGGTAGCAGCGAAGAAATAAGAAGGGTGAGAACCTTGTGAAGACCCGAGGGGATAGGGGCTTCAGAGGAGATCGCCACAGAGATCTTATCCTTATGTTGCAAAGAAAGACTTTGTTGCCCTGCTATTGCAAAGGAGATCCAGCAGAATTTCATGTGCTTTCATTTTATCTAGTTAACAGTTTCTTCATTTTCTTTTGACTTTGAATACTCTTTTCTAATACTGATACACCATTGTTGTGAACTGCTATGGGCACTCTTTTCAAAGTCCAAAAGTTGTAGGGAAATGTTCTATGAGAATCACTAAATAGGTTCAGAAAAGAGAAAGAAGAGTTCATAGGCAATGACAAATAAATTTCTTATGTCTTATACACCATTGTTGTGAACTGTCATGGGCACTCTTTTCAAAGTCCAAAAGTTGTAGGGAAATGTTCTATGAGAATCACTAAATAGGTTCAGAAAAGAGAAAGAAGAGTTCATAGTCACACCAGGAGAGTTAGCAGCCCTAATATAGCTTCAGAAGATTGGACATAATGAGATCTCAGCTTCTTTTTACTCCTATAAATAAACTTCATCTATTCTGAATAACAGACATTCCTGTCTATATTCAGTAGTAGTTTACTAGACTTCTCCCCCTTTTAAAAATCCATAAATGAGGACCTTTTAGAAAGGCAACACAATAACAGGGCAGAAATTATTGAACAAAGAAGCATAGGGAGAAAAATGTAAAAATTATGAAGGCACTGGAATGGAATCCTGTACTACAAGCTAGGGAAGATGACCAATGACCCCCCTCCAAAAAGTAATTGCCTGGAGTGGTGGTGATGTCATGGCATCAAGCTATTCCTTCTTTGTAAGCATCCAGGCTGGAGACAGCCAGTAGCTTTTCAGGGAGCTGAAACCAGTTTTGAAAGAGGGAGACTTTAGATGATTTCAAACAGTTGGCAGATTTGTTTGACCACAGGCAATAGATAGAACTGCATCTGCACCATGAGGAAGTGATGCCTCTCTCAAACAATTTTCAATGTTTCCTGCTTCTTTCTGCACATGGTATAGGAGAGTTGAGAGTGTGTGAAACACAGTCAGCTAACAATCTGAAAGAGCCAGAGCTGGGAATTTGGGACAGACCAATTTGGGGCAGTTTTTCCTTCTGTATTTCAGACCAGAGTCCCCCTGCTTGTCTGCAATACAGCAAGATGAAGTAAAATATAAAAGCCAGCTTTTAAAATAAGTCCCTCCAAATCTTGCACCACTTAGCTTATACCTGGTAGACCAAATTTTCTTTCTATATGTGCAGGCACCTTGTGGATAAGGAAGAGTGGGCTTGACCTGCTGCATCCCCTGTTGTCTGATGCATTTCCCCCCCCGGGTCTAATTTATTGTATCCCTTGTATCCCACTGCCTTCGTTCTTCTTGTTCTTTTCCACCATCATAAGCTATAATGTACCTTACTGGCATAATTTATTTCTCTTTAGATTGAATAATGTCTTACAAATAGCACATCTGGAAAAGAGGGGATTCCTTGCGTGCTGAAAATGTCTGGTCATCAGAGGAGAAGTCTTTCACACCTTCTGAAACATATAGATTAGTTTGCTTTGTTGTGTGATTGGTCATTGACAGTTGAGCAGGGGCTGCTATCATGCCTCTGAAACTCTTTGAAGATTTCACCTTCCAAGGATGATCTACATATCTTTATTAGATAGAGTGGTCCTCACAGAGGTATTTTTGGAGGGGATGGGGAAGCTTGATTGCAAAACATGACCATCTCAAGCAAATATTTTTGCTGTCTTTTTGTCATATGTTATAAAATACTTTGATTTACCCTGTCTTATTGCTATTTTTTTATTGCAGCATTTGATGAGAAGGGATCAGATCATGAGTGATTCTCTATCTGGGTTATCTTGGCCCCTCCCAACACATATTATGTTTGAAGGAAAAGCATTTGGCATGACTGACCTCTAGGCTTCACATTTATATTGATGGCTAATGAAGAAACTTCTTTTGTAATGGTGAATGACCCCATAGGCGTCGTCTCCATTTCAGAAATCACACAGCTATATCTCCCGTGGTCCTTCACTTCCATCTGCCTCATCTTGAGGATGTACTTGCCATTGCTTTGCTTCTTTACCTGGAGATTTCCAATCCTGAACCTTTCCTCATACTCCTTTTGAAAGGACAAGGACCCGTATGGATCCAGGGTTACCACCGTTCCACCACGATTGTACCAATCCACCTGGAACCACCTGTGTTGAGTTTGCTGGGCTTCCACAGTACAATTTATTTCCAAGACATCTCCCTCCAGAAGAAAGCGCTCAGTAACAGAGATATTAACAAAAAAACTTTTATCTGTGGAAATACAAATGAATAAACAGCTTGACATCACAAGTTCAATTTTGCCCTTCGGCTTAGTTTCTTCTGGTAAGGTGGTCAAGGTTACCTGGGTTAAAGAGCCCCACACTAACTACTCAGCCACACTACCCTGATTATCCTGGTGTGGGCAAAATCCAAGAAAGACAAATGTGCTGATGGCCGAGAAAAATCTTCCTGCCCGATAGCCTTCCAACACCTTAGTCCATCCTGACTAAAGAGTGCTTCCAGCAAGTTACCAGAAGTCTACAAGGCTAAGCCCTTAGACTCTTATGCCAACCATGCAAGGTAGGAATGCCAAAAATACCCACAAAATATACAGACTCCTGATAGATGGGAGACAAGCTTGGTTTTAGTACTACCAACCCTTTTAATCCAGAAGAATCAAACATCTGAAAGAAATTACAGTATATTATATTATAAGTGGTGAAAATAAAAAAGAACAAAATTTCAAAACAGCATCAACAATTATAGAACAGGTAAAAAGTACGTGGAGCAAGAAAATAGGAAAGCCAGCTACCCTGTGCTAATACAGTACATATATCCTGGCATAGCTTCAGAATAGCCTCAGAGCTTATATGGAGCAAAGCAGCAGATAAGTTCCCCTGAAAAATAACTAGGCTAAACTAAGTAACTTGTCTTCTCATTTTATAGTTTAAACATAGATTTCCAGACTTTTCTAGAAGATCTGCCAATCAGGTGTCAAGTTTCACCAAACTTTCACAAAGAAGAGAGCTACTTCTTCTCTCTTCCCTCACTTCAGCTGGAGCCATTCTCCTAATTAACTCAGTATCAAAGAGTGAGCTCAGTGGGGCCTGGAAGTTTCCATTCAAACAGAGATAGGGTGCAGGTGTTTGCTGCCTTCCAGTTACCATTGGGCATTCCCCCCTTTCTCTCAGTCACCTTTTTCTAGGCATGAACTGTAAGGCTTGATTTTCTAGAAGAGCAATAGAAACCATAGTCCCTCATTTTCCTCAACTCTTGACAAATGTTTGCTCCAGAGCAGTCAAATGTGTTCACTGGGAAACATTTCCAGCACAGAAAAGAGGATGGAGGAAGTTGGAGTGCTCTGCAAAAATTCTGTGCATTTCCTTTTTTTCAGGAACAGTGAAATACGCACCTAGCCAATAAAAATTGGATACTGACCCTGTGAAGGCACCTACATATGCAAGATGGGAAAAGCATGCTTTTTTCTAAACCAGAAAAAAATGGCAAGATTAAGCTTTCTTTTTTAAACATATGATTAATATAATATACATTTTGAGGTATGCATATCCACTTCAGTTAAATTTAGATGACAGCTGTTTTGCACAGTTACTTCCCAATAAACAAAAAGCATGCTGGTTATATACTGCCACATAGCATTTAAAGCATCCTCTGGGTGGTTTATAATTTAATTATGCAGGCTACACATTGCTTCCCCCTCCCAGTGAGCTGGGTACTCAGTTTTCCAACCTTGGAAAGTTGGAAGGTTGAGTGAATCTCAAGCCAGCTACAGTACCTGCAATTGAACCTGGGTCATGAGCAGAGTTTCGGCTGCAGTACTGCAGTTTAACCACTGTGCCATGAGATGTCAAAGGCATCTGTCATAATACATTATTTTGTTCACCTATGCACCTTGCATTTACTGTGTTTTGTGATTGGTCATAGAAAGGTAAACATGATTGCTAAGGCATGTTTGTCTCGGAAAATCTCCTTGTGGGAGGAAAACCACATCTGTCATCCAGAATACACATAACGTCTAGTTAAGTGTTCCACTATACATTCATTGTCTCATCATGATTTAGCAACCCATCTTTTTACTGTTATATATATGGTGTGGATAGATAAGCAAATGCAATAATGAATGGATGGATTCTATTAAATGAAAGCAGTTAAGTGTGTGTGGATGAATGAATGTTGCCCATCTAAACTTTCCAAAGCAGCTAGTGATAAGGTGGATTGCTCATAATCTGTTGAAATAATTTTGTTCAAGCTTATCAGTCATAACTATTTTCACATTTAGAGAGATAAAAAGAGGAAGGTATGTAGTGAAGAGTACATATTTCTGAAGCACTTATTCACTGATAATGTGACTGTCCACTATCTTGAAAGGACATAACAGTGCCTTTTCTCCAATCCATGTGAAATTTCAGAGATTCCTCTATATGCAGTTGAAGAGACAGAAGCTGTAGCTAATCATAGGTACTTTAAGTCTAATTGCTTACTGCACATAAATTATACAAGGCATTGAATGCTAGTTCATCAATAATGCAGAGCAAAAATCCTGAACAAATGTTTGCCATTCACAAATATTTGCTGAATCTCTTATGTGAACAATATGGAACATTAAAACCATGCCATTCTGATCCAGAAGTGATGCCGGGAAAGGATTTCCCTTGTTGAAACCATGTGCATAGTGCTTCTAAACTGAGCTATTTAATTTAGGTTGCTGCTCCCTTGTGGGAAGGCACTACATTATCATGATGCCAGTCACCACAGCAGAACTCTATGAATCATAATTTTACAAACTAGGACTGATTGAATGGGTGGGGAACATATTTAGATCTTTAAAAGAAATGTTATGTAAAAACAGGCTCTGATTTCATCCATTTCAAGACAAAAGGGGTGTATCGCAGCACTATGGCAGCAATACTGAAGGTATGGCACTAGAGCAAGGGTCTCCAAACTTTTCAGACTGAGGGCCACAATAAATGTACTCCAGACTTTCGAGGGCTGCATACACCCAGCCGCCCAGCCGCTTGCCCGCCCACTGGGCCAGATAAAAAGGCAAGGTGGGCCAGATGTGGCCTGTGGTCCATAGTTTGGAGACCTGTGCTCTAGAGAAAAGTTAACAGGGCTGGCCTTACTTTAGGTAGAGTGAGATAGTTACCTTAGGCAGTAAATGTTGTGTGTCATGAAAGGGCAGTCAACTGCAATTTATTTACTTTGTCATTACAGTACTGTTTTTGTTTAGTTTTTTGTTTGTTTTACTGTCAAAAAGGGGCAAAGGCACACATAGGATCTTCTACCTCATGTGCCAAAAGATGCTCGCTGGCTTTGAACACTTGGCATCTTCACTCAAACAGGTGGGGGAGTCGGGTGTCAAATGCTGCTCTGCCTCAGGCAGCAAAATATTTTATTTATTTATTTATTTATTTATTTATTTATTTATTTATTCATTCATTCATTCATTCATTCATTCATTCATTCATTCATTCATTCATTCATTCATT